CAACAAGTTCACCATGAGCCAGCAATGTGTCCCTGTAGGGGGCCAATGGTATCTTGAGGTGCATTAGGAAGAGTGTGGCCAGCAGGTCGAGGGAGGTTCTCCTCCCCCTCTGCTCTGCCCTGGTGAGTTCACATCTGGAGTACTGTGTCCAGCTCTGGGCTCCCCAGTTCAAGAAAGACAAAGAACTACTGGAGAGAGTCCAGCAGAGGGCAACGAAGATGATGAGGGGACTGGAGCATCTCCCTTCTGAGGAAAGGCTGAGGGAACTGGGTCTGCTCAGCCTGGAGAAGAGAGCACTGAGAGGGGATCTCATCAATGCTCATAAATACCTTAAGGGTGGGTGTCAAGGGGATGAGGCCAGACTCTTTTCAGTGGCACCCAGTAGAGGTGAACCTGCTTTGGCACGGGAGTTGGACTGGATGATTTCCAGAGGTCTCTTCTAACCCTGACCATTCTGTTATTCTTTGATTATTTTTATTGCAGTCCCAACCATAAAGGGTTTTATTATTTTCATTTTATAAGTGATTCTTGTAATTGATTTCATTGCAAGCAAAAGAACTGAATAGAAACAATTTATTTTAAATAGGCTTTAAGCAAAATTTTACATTTTTCTTTGGACAATATCACTTAGATACAATCTATAATCAGATTTGCAAAGCAAGTCAGGTTTTTAGAGTTTGGTTAATCCTGTCTTCTATTCCTTGATCCTTTTACATTAACCTGACTCAGCTGTAGAAAAGACTGACATGTTTCTTCCTGGTAAAAATTTTACAATATATGTTTTTTTGCAATGCAAGTCTATAATTCATAATACAAGAAGGAAGAGAAAAAAAACTCAAACCTTAACACTTTCAAACTTCTCTAGTGTTTAAAAATTGACAAAAGTGGCCAGACCCATTGCCTGGTTAATTTTAAACTCCTAGACTGAGGATCCTGTTCCTTCATGATATCAAGTAATTTAAGGTCCTTTGCATCAAGGAGCCAACCCATCATTACTGTTATCATAAGACCAGGCAATCAAGAAACACACTGGACAAAAGCTGTCACTATTGATGCACTGGCTTTGATCTGATGTGTGATCATACAGCCAATGTCCACCTCTTTTAAAGCAGGCATGTTATTAAGTGTTCTAAAGAAATTTCTCCAACGAGTTTCTGAAACATGGTGATTTACTAACAGTTTTTCAAGCTTCTGGAAACCTCCACACTTTGCAACCTTTGCTGGAAAATAAACAGACATCAGTAAGGATTCAAAGATGCTCCAAACCCATATGAATCATGAATGAAAATACAGTGAAGCTGAGGTGTTGTACATTAAAGATTAAACAAAGTTGTTGCTATTAGGCTGAAAAAAGTAGAACTTTGAACTCAATTCATTTAAGCATTTTAATACCTCAGACTGAGGAGACTGATAAAATAGAGGATACTTTAGCAGGCACATTAATGCTTAGTAGTGTAAGATACCAGTGTGGTTTTGAATGTTTGAATACTACTCTTGCAGAACAAAGCAAATACAACATGAGCTTATGCAACCACTTGAGGTCCAACACCAGAGCAGCTTTGCACAGATGCAAGATACTGAGTTTAATAATCTCTTCTATGCCTGTGTAGCATCACATTCAGTCTTGCCTTATGGTCAGTCAGCCTACTTACAAGATGGGACTTTTGTCATCAAGTCACTACATATACTAAAATGTGTGTCAAAATAAAGGAAGATGATATGAAAGACGTAGCATTTGCTTACAAAAGAAGAAATTTTCCCAGCCTATATATGAGATGGTATTTTTAAGACTATGCTAAATAAGTAATAAATTCAGAAAATATTTTGGTAATACACAATTTTAACAGCTAGGGCATATAAGCTAATAGAACTAGGAATGAAGTTACAAAGCGCTATTTTAAGACAGTCTTTTTTTCCACTGATTATTTTTCTTGTAATTTACATCATTGCTTTATAGCAGACAAAAGGAACTAAGGAGGCATTTCAAAAGATGTTTCAGCAAAGTCTAGTATATAAGCAATCTGAATACACTTTGATGAGCAGAGATATTTTGCGCTGTGTATAGAAAAAACAGGAAGAAATGATACCTATTAAAAATGACAAATACTTTGCAATTGTTGTAATGTATACAAACAGAAGATTAATTTATCCTGAAGCAGTATGTCCTCCATTCAGAAATGTTATTTCATGTTTTAAGTTATCTTCTTTAAACTACCTATTTATAACAGGCTGTCATTGTCCAGAGATAGGATAAATGAGAAGCATCTGTGGTACAGCAGGTGTAGACACTGCTGCACAATCATTTTGGCTGCAGACCTCATTCCTTTCCCTGCAGGAAGGATGAGCTCCTCCAGGTTCAGAAGAACACCTGAATTGTACGCTGCAGACATAAGGCCTTTCCTGTTAAGATTAAGCAAGTGTACGTTTCCTAAGTCTTATAATGCCAATGAGTGACAACAGCAGAGTCAAGTGAAAAAAGCATTTAAATTTAGATTCTGGGAAACAGTTTATTATCAGCTTTCATTCCTCTGGTTCACCCCTGCTATTGTTGCAGAGATCTCTTCACTCTGTAACTCAATAGCTTGAAAAGGTCATCAACATAAAAGGCAGAACTACTTCTCCAGAAAGGATCTAAAAGGTCTCATGAGTCCTCTAGAGATAAAAGGAATCTTCCTTGTTGCTAAACTCAAGGGACTCACAGGAAAGAAAAAGAAATTAAGAGGAATCCTCTCTTCCCAAAATGCAAGCCTTTTCAACCTTTTCCTATTCCCTATAGACATGACTTTTGCAGGGGAGCATCTTGGAGTTCAGAGGTACTGAGCACTTCTGATTCCATAGTTTAGGACAGCCATCTATTTCACTCAGCTTCTCCCTTTCAGAAGGATGTGAATGCATGCCCGTCATCATAAACTGCTTTGTGAGACCTGATACAACATTATAGTTCTAGATACTCTCCAGTATCTCAGATGGCATTTAAGCTGTTCAAGTTATTTCTTAAGATCTCCAAAAGAACCTGAAGCAAAATAATTCTGTCAAATGGAACAAATGAGATCAGCTGAAAGGAAAAATATGTACAAATCAAAGATTTCACAAGCTTCCTTGTCATCAAAATATTGGCTTTTAAGATCCAACACTTTGAGAGAGACAAAATTGGGCAGAGCAGCAGCTACAAGGAAAGGAAAAAAAAGTATACATTATCATTCTTGGAACTTAAAATCAGCAGTTTCTCTCAACTATTGAGTTTTAAAAAAGTGAGTTTTCTGTAATAAAAAAAATTACTACATAAAGAAAGTAAATCTCTATCTCTTAAAAATTACCCAGTTAACTTGATTTCTATTAATTTCTCATGTGAAGAAATTGCTGCCAGAAGAGATTCAGAATTGAAGTAGTTGGAGCAGTCCAGGTGAAAAACAGAAAGGTCTTAGAAGCTCTTAATAAATTCAACCACAAAATAAAGTGTTGCAACACTGGAAATTCACTGTATAGTGAACAAAGGTCAAAAATCAGGAAGGTTCTCCTTGCTCCACCTGTGAACTTCACTGTAGAAGGAAGCATCTTCTATTACAACAAAAGCAAGTGAAATAGATAAGAAGATGAATGAGAGCAGCAGCTTGATTCCTCTGTTTAAATGTTAAAATCAGGTGGTCTGTATTTTATTTTATAACTAGAATCATGATGGATCATTCTGGCCGTAAAATGCAAGTTTTGCTACAGATTAGCTTCTGAGTTCTTTCACATGTGAAAAATACTGCAGTTTTTCAACATTTAGCAGGACTGAAACTCTTTAAACACCTTCCCTCTAAAATTATTAGTTTTAGGTACATTGTAAAACCCTATCCAACGGCCAGACATTGAGGGTATAGTTCACTGAATGTTGTTGGTTTGTACTGTATGTTCATATTGAAGTACAGCTGGGTAATCATTATCATAGCATACAAAAAATAGGTTACCTAGGGGCCTTGGACTGAAAAGTAAGCTGCTTCCTGGAACAAGACAGCTAAAACAAAAGTCATGACCTGCTCATTGACCTGTCCGAGCACCTATGCACATGATTGGGACTCAGTTGTCAACTGTGCTCCCTCTCTTCTTTATCCCAGTGGACCGTGAGTGGCAAGAAGGGAAAATGCTGACTCCAGGAAAACAAAGAGCATAGTCCTGCTTATTCTTCCGTACTAACTGACGAAGGACACTAAAGTCACAGCACTGAAATATTCAGCTGCTCTTTTTTGTTGGGGTGGTAAACTCAAGATAGAAGCTGTAGGGCAGAAGCAATGGGAAGACAACTCATAGATCCTGCATGCCCGTTAAAGGAGAAATTAAAACTGCTGCCCAGTATTAACATGTTCTAGCGGAATATAGTACCTAAAGTTTTAAAGTGCACCTTACCCACCCTGGAGCTGTTTTCAAGCTTCATCCTGCTCATCAACAATTTCTGTATATTATAGAGATTTTTGAAGCCAGCAAGTATTGTATCAAATACATTGCAGTTCTCACATTGACTCACTGATAATTTCTCCAGGCAGATGAATTTGTCCAAATTTGAAAAATGTAGTTCTGTGATGAAGCCAGACAAAAGTGCAATAAGACTGGGTTGGTCTGCTTAATCCTTCTGTTCTTCTGAAAATTTGCCAAGGTTTTTGTAACTGAGCTTCACTATCTCACATCCCAACATCTTTCGCTTCCCTTCTCTTGACTGCAGCTTCCTATCCTCCTTGTAGTACTGCCCTTCCATGCTAACCCATCCTTTGCTGCGGTTTCTCCTGCTTGCAGCCTGAGCATATGCCTGACAGGATCCCATAAATGCACCTGCACTGCCCAATATTATTCTATCTTGAAAGCCCAGCACAGACCCACTCAGATTGCCTCAAGCAGAAAATGCGTGTCTGTCGGTGCCTGCTAGCTTGTCCTCCATATTGCAGTATCCTTTGCTGAAGTGCAATTCTGCCTCTGTAGTGACAAACACCTCTTAGATCAAAAACAAGTATTGACGTCACAGTCTGAAATTAGAGGCCATCATGGAAATCTCTTAATGCAGAATGGCTGCCTATCACCTGAATGCATATGGTAGAAGATAGCTTTATTACTCATGGGTGTGGAACTGTTCAGTTGTCAGGCTCCAAGGGGAAAGGAAGAAAAAGGTAACTAGAGTGAAAAATTACATTCTACCAAAATTCAATATGCTGTACTTGGCTTTTTTCTATCTCAAGACATTCCACAAAAGACATCGAAAGACGTAGTTCTCTGTTATGCTGAAGTTAAGATGATGTAGATTTTATTTTTTAAAATGTTCCTTGTACTGTTCAATAGCAGGATGGATAACTTCTGTGAATCCAGGATTGTTATTCAGCTGAAGTTCAATATAATTAGAAACAGAAAACAGTGTCATTAAATTTCTGAGGTCAGACTCCTGAAAGGAACTATGTTGCTGAATGTACATTTCAAACACAGCATCTTCCCTCTTGTAAGTAGGAAAGAACACACGATGGAGTCTGGTAGATGTCTTCATATCAGTGAAAAAAAGCTATTAATGTTTTTTTCTTATTTTTTTGTGTCATGTCAATAAAAAGTGTAAACACAGGAGTGTAATCCCAGTCAGTTGCTGGCATCTCCAGTGAAGAATAGCAAACATCTATTTCAGATACATTAAATTATTTTTGTTTGCCTTCACTTCCTTCTACTGCAACCTGAAAACTACTGGGTAGAGACAGAGATTCTGGGTAATCTTGAAAAAAACCTGCATTTTAACAAAATATCTTTGCCTCTTAGGAACCGAAAAATGATTGGGGCACACATAAAGACAGTATTACTATCATAAACCACAGAGGTAGTGAAGTCCAGTAAATACTGGAAGAAGCAGCTTTGGATCAATAAAACTTAACTGGTCAATGAAGAACATTCTTATTGGAAGGTCTGAATGGTGCTGCAGATGCTCATCATTTTCTGATTGGCTTTCCAAGGACTCCTTGCAGTCAACCAATCAAAAAAAATAGGATATAATCTGGGGGACTGCTTTGGAAGAAACGCTGCAAGTGTAAACCAATAAAGAATTATAGCGCCCAGCAACCTTTCTAAATGTGTTAATTTGCTGCAAGTGCTGCAGCCCTTGCTCCAGTTTCCTGCCTTCATCAGAAACCAGGAGCTCACTCACTCATCTCTGCAAGAAACTTCTGGAACAAGGGGTGAAAGAATTTATAAAGTGGGTGAAGGCTTTGAACAGGAAATTTGCTCAGTAAACCCAACCTACAGCTTCATCTCCATGAACTCCTGCTTCAAACAGATCAGACTCCATGAAGTCAAAGGATGGCTTAAAAAGACCGGTTAAGGCAAGATCACCACATGACAAAAACATAGCCAGTACGTGTTCTCTTTCTTTGCTGTATTTTAGTAAGTGATAGAGCAGATAGGCTTTAAAAATAGGCTTATCACTGCTTATGTTACCCTTTGGGTGCTGTACCCAATACACAGTGAGAGACTTCATAAAAAGTGGTGTCTTTAGAATGGTCTGCATAGGCTTTTCAAACTCCAGCATAAAGAGAAGCTGGTCCACAAGGTCAATACTGTAGAAGATTTCTTTAGTACGTACAGAGTGCTGGATAGAGGGAACTTTGCAATGCTCAAAGTGGTGGTTGCATACTTCTGAATTTCGCTTGTCCTGTTAGTATGGACAGCAACAACCAAACAATGCTGATAGAGATGGTTCCTTTGTATAAATTCTTCTACAGAGTGGGGCACTGAATTAATCTCACTATAGTTAGCCAAAAGAAGTAAGACCTGTTTTTTCAGTGAGAGAATTACATCTCTTAAGTTGTTTCTCAATGGTCTCACAAATCCTACTGGTTGACTGCATATAATATCAGCCATACTCTGATTAGATCTTGTGTAAGTCAGGGAGAGATAAAATACAAACTTAAACCTGCTCAGAACAGAGCCACAGCCTGAGGCCCAAAGAAGAGCTATTTTCCTGAGCAATGCTGGTTTTCCACTTTCTGCTTCACCTTCCAGCACAATGGTAGAGTTAAGGTTTGCAAGAATTTAATGAAAAAAGATCTGCTGTATTGGCTTATCATTAATATCCTTTGAGACAACTGATAGATCTCCATAGAGTAATTTAAAGTCAATAGCCAAATGGTTTGAGTTCCCAAAGGAAAACAATTTGCTGAAGCTGTTATTGTTGTAAGCCTTTGTAAGTTGTTGAGTCAAGTTCTTTGCTTCTTGAAGACACTGACTTTCAACAAGTGTCACTTCTGCAAAAAGAATGATATTAAATAGCAAAACCTAGGGAACAGTGGATTCTGTACACAAAAGTTAAATATAGTCAGCTGTCCATTAAATTGGACTAATAAGAACCTGAGATTTTCTAGATAACAGAAAAAAATTGTACTACTTCTTCTGGATAAACCAAGTTCCCACAGTTTGCCTTTGTCCTACTCCTACTTTGGGTTTGCACTCATCTGGTTTAATGTGGGGTTAGTTTCTATGTAGCAAGTAATCAAGTGATAAACTTGAGCTAAAATGCTCTACTGGACCTGACTTCGCTCTGTGCAGAGACCAGCTGGTATTTCAGTGCAAGGATCCCTACCCTTCCATGGTCTGGAAAGAATAATTAGCTGAGATGCAGCACTGTGTCAATAAACAACTGAATTGCCAGCCTCACAAGCAGGCTCAGAGAGTGGTGAAGACACATTCAGCCAGCACCATGCAGACAAAGTAGTGTTAAACTTGACCTAAACATCCTTTCTGGACCAAGACTAGCTTCCTACAGAGCCACTGACTCCCTATACCATGCTCTCTAAAGCTCTTGCTCTGCCAGGATTTCTAAGTTCTGGTATAGTGCATCGATTCTGGCTAGAGCCAGTCATGTTATCTGTGCCCATAGTACAGTTTATCCACAAAACAGATAATCCACCTCAAAATGAATGTGTGGGGGCTGTACTTTGGTATTTCTGAACAGCTGAAACAAGGTAAATGTACTTTTACATCAATGTAATTATACAGATATGCAGTATACATATTGCTAAAAAAGCCCACAGTAATCTGTTATCTCAGATGGAGCAGCACCATTTTATTCTTTGCATATTCAACAAAAGTACAATGAACCCCAGAAACGCTCACTGGCTCTTTCTGCACTTCACTGAGAGATGACACCAGAACGGTCCATTTCTGAGGAACTTTAGACAAGATAGGGTATACTTATGTCATAGCCTGGGGAAACTAGACTTCCTACCAGAAACAGCTCCAGTCATCTTCAGTAAAATGGAGTTGTACACAATGGTGAATATAAAGAAACAACAAACTATGACTCTTATTGTTCCCTCCACCACTTCAGTACTATGAAGTTTAAAACTATTGTTAGGCTTTCAGAGTTCTAAATTGTGCTTTTAGTGCCTTCAAAAATTACAAAATGCCTCCAACTCATACATACACCCCAAATAATTTTGACATTTCTGGGCAGCAGTAATAGCCATTTTTGGATTAACAGACGGCTGCCGAAGAAAGTGTCTGGGCAGTACCACTATAGCAAATTTACTTTTGAGTTATTGACTCTGTGCTTGCACATCAGTACTTTAGACTTGACATAAGGAAAAAATTCGTTACAATGAGGGTAGTGAAGAACTGGAACAGGTTGCCCAGAGAGATGGTGGAAGCCCCATCCCTGGAGGCATTCAAGGTCAGGCTGGATGGGGCTCTGAGAAACCTTATCGAGTTGGAGATGTCCCTGCTCACCACAGGGGGATTTGACTAGATGACCTCTAAAGGTCCCTTCCAGCCCAAATGATTCTATGATTCTACTGTTCTGCAGCAACTCAACTCAGTGCAAACTCATTGTGTGTGAACTCTTCCCTCAGAAATCCACATACATGTATCAACAAAACCACTCCTTTGAAATGTCTATAATATTTTGAAAAATGAAGCATCAGAAGCAAAAGATAGTGGAAGGTTATCCCAACTTCATTTCTTTTGTATCTAGAAGCATGTACCTATAATATGAAGTACACAGTTGATATACATTTGCAATTTTCCAAAACATGAATGAAAAAAAATCATACCGTATTGTCACAAAATAATTTAGTTTGCTTACATGCCTCGTCTGCACAGAAGTGACTTTCATCTGATAAGGGATTGGTTCATACTCACAGATTACAAAAGCAAGCTGTAGCTGACAGATTCTCTACTATTTGTTGTCCCTATATATGGACAATCCATAAGTCCTAACTCAATCCTTACTTCAATGAAAGTTTCATCTGACAAACTAAGGGCCAAATCCAGAAAACCGTTAGCAATCCTCTCAAACTAAAATGTAAATTCAACACTGCCACCCTTTCAAGTGAAGCTGCACAGTACTTGCCAGGTCCTACAGAATGTTGGGTTGCATTCTCTTCAAGATTTACTTTACAGGGAGTTTGCTAGAATAAAAATAAATCCAGTTGTACTCTTTTAGGTATTTATTATTTAGTTCAAACTGAGTTGCTCAGGTATCAGAAAGCACCAGCAGCTGCAAGGGCAATTTACAACAGATGGAGTACTAGCTCTGTATTTTTCAACACTAGCAAAATTCTTTTACTCTTCCCAGAAGCAGGACCTCAGCCATAACGTCCCTTTACTTTCCTCTCTCACTTGCTGTCTTCCCGCCGTAAGCTTCTTCCATCCCAGGGTTTTGCTACCTGCCTACCAAGGATATGAGGCCCCGTTCCAACAGGACACGGATGCATAACCTTGATGCAGGATGCAGAGTGCCGAGAAAAAACCGTGAGACAGCCTGCAAGAGACACAGGGAAGATAGGGCTACAGGCAGACAGAGCAGGGCAAGACTGGGCGGCTGATGGCCAGAGGACTCTGCCACCTGCCTACCCAGCAGAGACCCTCTGTTTGCCTGGGCAGGATGGTGAGCATGCTAATGCTCAGCCTCAGAGCTTGTAACATCCCATCTATCTTTTGCATGAGTTAGCGAATAAATAATCACTTTGTACTTCTCAGTTGTGTATATCCTCAAGGTGCCTGAACAACCCAACCCAAGAGAGGAGCTCTGAGATCTCCCACAATAACACGTTCTACATAAAACCTCCTCACTAGCTTCCTGCAGTCCAACAAAATGGGACTCAGCTTTCTCCCTCCCACCAGCCCCTCTGCAAGAGCCCTGTGGTTCCCACAGCTGTGCCCAGCACCCCGAGCTGGGGTACTTTGCTACAGACAGAGCAGCCCAGGAGGCCAGGTGCTGTTGCACATATTACAATTTGCCAGCAAAGGATGATTGCTGTTAATTACTGAAAAGCTGATTGCCAGTAGCTGCCCTGCAGAGATGCTTTCTCCACAACCTGGGTCAATGCCTGCAGGCAAGCAACTGCTGTTTGGGCATACGCGTTTGAACACCACAGGTACCTGAGCCACAGGGCTCAGAAGCACCTTTAGAGAGGCAGAGGGCTGTTGCCTGTACCATGCTGATGTAAATCACATACACCGTACCCATTCAACAGCATCTGAAACGTGGTGCATTCAAAAGTTTGTCTGGGATGACAAATTACAATAAGTTGCCTTTGCTGCTCATTCTGTGCACACACACGCAGAGGCTCCCTGGAACTGCAACTATCGTTTAAAATCACAAGGCACAAAAACTGCTTCAATAACAGCAAATAGTGCAGACAAGTGCAAACCTGTGCAGACTGTAATGTCAATGGGCTCTTTGGTTGCTCTTCCAGTGACTTTCCAAGTACTTCCAAGCTGATGGAACTAGAATGGTATTTTCAAAAGGCACAGCCTGTAGTGCAATGCGTTACTTCAGTTGCTTACATTTGGCAGAAAGATGGAGCTATTTCACAAACATTCCTTTTGTTTGGAAACTTTCACTTTATTTCTAAATTTAAACATTAATTAAAAAAGAGTTTTCACAGTAGCACTATGTCCTATACGCTCAAGAAACATATAGTTATTTATCTACATCTAAAGTAGTATTAAAAAAACAACTGCAAACATGTATGGCAACTTTCATCACACAGCAGAAAATTGTCTTAAAATACTCTGTCACTCACTCAGGGAACCATTTTGCATGTTCTTCCATAGGATCTTCACCTTCTTCCCATTCCTGTCAGTAACCTGCACAGTTGAAGCACTGTACCCTGTTGCCTTCTCCTGCAAGCAAGAAATTATGCACATCAAAAATGGTCATGTACATGATTTTTTTTCCTTACTAACATGCCAGCAGCACAAAAACTACACCAACGCAGTTGTTTCATGAGTTTACTTCAGTGGCCTCCATCTGATACTGGAATTACATGCTTTTAAATCACAAGTAATAAATCAAGGAAAATAAAAAGCCACAGAATTGAGAGATGTGCCATTATTGTCCTTTTAGTAACAACAGATAAATTAATAGATGAGTGCCCAGATAAATGCTTTCTCCTTTCTAAAAACATATCCTCCTTGCAAATCTTTGCTCTGACTTCCACCTCAGACAGGGTCATTTCATTTCACTTCCTTTGCTCTGACTTTTACAAAATAATTTCTGATTTTGCAGCTGCATTACTCTCCTTACTGAAAGGTAAAGCAAGATTTTAATTAGGTAGCAAGTCTGTCTTGAACCTCTGTCCCACCTGCATTGGTAAGCGGATCTTTTACTTGTCCTATGTTTGTATAGCTAACAAATTTGGTTCAAACCCATATAAAAACACCTGGCTTTAGCAAGAGCAGTGGCTTCCACACAGGCTTCTGCTGGCCAAGTTTTAGAAGAGTCCAAACTCCATCCTCAAAGAAGTTCAAGACAAGATTGCCTTTGCAACCAGAGATAACTTATTAGTTAGTTAGGAAAGCTTTAGCCTGCTATCAAATTCTCAAGAGCAGTGGCTTCCACACAGGCTGCTGCTGGCCAAGTTTTAGAAGAGTCCAAACTCCTTCATCCTCAAAGAAGTTCAAGACAAGATTGCTTTTGCAACCAGAGATAACTTAGTTAGTTAGGAAAGCTTTAGCCTGCTATCAAATTCTCCAAAGCAGGTACACAACTAAATTGCAAATATTTCAGGCTTACAGCAAAGCAAAAACACTATTATAGAACTGTATCTTTCAGTTAATTATAAATGTATATTCTTGATTTATAGTACAGATGAAAATCTCTTTTTTCCTTTCAAAGCCTTCAGGTTTCATTTATTTTTCACCTCTGTCTCACTCAGGCAAAGGCAAGTGAGCACCTTTTATACTTAGCTTCTATGAAGAACAAATTTTTACTTCTGCTAAAAATTTCAGAAATACAGAACTAATAATTTTTCACACATGTAATCTGCTGAAAAAAAATAAAAGCAACAATCTGGAGAGGCTTTCATTGTCAATGGTGATGTACAATAAAAATATGAAGGCATTATTTTCTAATGAAAATCTAACAATCAGTATATTCTATTTTTTTACCTGTTGCAGTAAGTAAAGTCTCCTTGATAAAGGAAGCTGTGAAATGCCCCTCCTAAAGCAGAAAATTAAAAATTAATACTTATTTCTATTACGCATTCTATTATCATTTCACTCTTCAGCTAAACTAAACAAATAACCGTACTATATAAAGAAGGCTAGTAGTAAGTATCAACACTTTAAATGCTTTCAGTTTGAGAGACAGAATTTTCTGAAACAGAATTGTCTAATGACAGGTTGCTATTAATGAGAAGAAATGGATCTCCTCAGACACTAGCAGCTCTAAAGAAAGAAAGATAGCACTGATGCTAAGATATCTGAGATAGTGTTTTCCAAGCAATACTTGCCATCCTCTCATCTTACATCAGCTAATGTGTTTAGCTTCCAGATTTTTTGAGATTTTTGAGGCATGGGGGTTTTAACCATGAAAGATCTTACATATATTGCGTTTTTTCTGATGAAAGTAAGTTCCCCAAACAAAGAAGAAGTCATACAAGACAAGCTGGCAGGGTCGAGTTCACCTAACCTGAATTCAGCCATGCAGAAGTGCTTAGTTTAGCATACTCGCCTACAATCTTCCTAATAATCAATAAATACATATAGGTGCCAAGAGGAGTTAATTCATCCGTCTGCCTTCAAGTAGGATAAATACCAATTAGAGGTATGTGGCTTTTCATCAACGGACTACCTAGGTCCTGCCTAGGCAAGCACTGTGGATGCACACCTCAAAATAAATTTACATGAAACAAACTCCACCTAGAGTGCATAGTGTTAATTACATACATAATTATATACAGCTTTTGGGTTGCTGCGGGGATTTTTAGGAGAAAGAGGGTGGAAATCAGGATCAAGGCCTAATGTGCCTATCTTCAAGTCCCAGATAGTGCCTGCTTGGGGTGTATTCCACCATAAAGGAAGATTGAAATAGATTATAAGATTATCACCTCTCCAACAAATCCACTGTAGGTTTCAATGTACTTTTTAATTTCCTCACTTGATTTCCTACTTTGAAGGAATTCACATCTATAAAAAAACCCAAAACATTATTCCTAAGCATTAATTCCAATTAAAATTCTGGAAGCATGTTTCAGTTATTAAGAGGTGCATACTCAGGATTTTTCAGAACAGAAAGACAATGAAACAACGGCAAACTTTTTGGTGCTGTCAGCATTGTTCATGTAACATAGTGACTATCTGAGCAAATAATCAGCTGGCTTTCACTCAATGAAGAGTCCATGGGAGGTCTTTAGAAAGTATGTAAAACAATATATATAGAATAATAATAGGGTTAGGGGTAGCAGACTTATACTATTCAGCTCTCAGGAATAAAAGTCTGCTGAAATCTATTGTGTGAATATAACAGCCTTGAAGACAAAAATGTGGAGGTTTTCTGTTTGCTTTCCAGCATCATTGCTGACGAAAAAAAGTGATACCAAAACAAATCAATCTTTTTGTACATATAGAAATATTTCTAGGACAGTCAGTCAACTTGAGAAACCATTTAGCATGTTCTCTCCAAGGCTTATCATCCTCTTCCCAATTTCCCAGACATCCACCACAAGCAAAACACTGCATTGTATCTTTCTTGCCTGCATGTAGGGTGTTACAGATCTCAGAGATAATCACACATTTCTGTGTTTTACTTGCTCACACTCTAGCCACCTGACCACGAGTATACCAGTGTATATAATCAGTACAAAATTTGTAGCTAAGGGAACCCTTTTTCTTAGATTATAGCAACTGAAACTAAAAAGGTTTACAAAACTGCTTAGATTTCTCTTTAATTTCAGTTGGGTCAGTCTGGGTCTAAACCTGGTGCAGATCCAAAAGTGAAAATATGAGGTAGATCTTTCCATCAAAATAGAACTTCAGAGTTATCTGACAAATTGTACAGGCTTAGTAGAATAAATTTCTCTTTTTTGTTGGCTATTTTTTAAATTTTGCATTCTAGCTAGTCAGTTTATTTATAAAAGCTAAGTAAATGAATAATTCTAGAAACCAACAGAATAAGATGAGAGAACTGGAATTTCTGTCCCTAGGTTAACATATTGATAGTCAGCATAGACATGGTGGAAGAAAGACAAGTCAGTCAAATACTGTAATGCCAGTTTATAAAATATTCAGGGAAAATTGAGTAAACAATGCTAGAAGGAAAAGGACTATCAGGTCTTAATGATATCTTAGAACAAAATCAAACCAACAAAAAGCAAAGATTTTCTATGGACTGGAATTTCAGGCCTCTATTGGAATAATACAGTTCTTGGTCCATATTACCAGCCAATCAGCCAGGAGGACAAAACTGAGTACGTAATGCGCAAAGAAATGAGAGGCACTGTGGGCAAGAAATAGAATTGTACCCAGTGACTCCAGTTATCCCCCAAGTGAACTGCACAGATAACACCTTGAGATGCAAAGTAGAGAGGACTTTTTTTTAAGAGGCTATCAGGGCATAATTTCATCGGGCAATTGGTTAGCAAGTCTACCAGATGATGTGACTTGGTGTTGAGAAACGCAATGAGAGGAGCTCAAAATCTCATAGTGGAAGTGTCACCGTGTAACCATGATTGTAATTTACTTAGATGCAACATCCCCCCACACCCTCAACATCCCCTTACTACTTCAAAAACGGGAACTATGTAACAGTAAGGAAGCTGAAATGGCTGACTAAATAAAACCAACCAATAAAAAAAAAATCCAAACCAAAAACCTCCAACAATTCTCTCACAGTCATTTGAGAGTTTCCTGAAATATGTTTTAGTGGAAGTGCAACACCAGTGTGTGCTATTTATTAGAAAAGACTTACAAAAAGTTACAGGAAAGAGTATGACTGATAGGAAAATACATCAGATTACAAGAATTAAGAAGGCATCATTCAAAAAGCTAAAGCTTTTGAGCAAAGAAAACAGAAGGCTTGAAAGCTCTGGCACATGAAGTGTGAAAATAAAATCAGGCAGGCTGGGGAAAAAAAAAAGGTCCAAGAGTAACAAGCTAAAGGAATCTAAACCTTCTTCGAGATAGCAGGAACAAAAATCCAGTGATGACAGCTGGTAGAGCCAACTGCTAACCAGGCTATAAAAGAACTGTTCAAAGGGGAAAATGCAATTGCACAGGACTTGAAGTGGCATTCTCTGCAGTATTTGCATTAATGTTCACTGCAGAGGAGTTCAACGAGATTCCCATTTTCTAAACTGGGGGCAGGGGGGCAATAAAGCAGAAGGTTGATCCAAAATCAAAGCAATTATGCAATAGATTATGGCTGAGCAGGGAAAACATAAAGCTAATCTTTCAAAAGCAGTCTGCACCTTTGGGGGAGAGGAAGAGACACTAGATCTGTAAGCCTGGCACCTGTTACAGACAAACAGGCAGAAACAAGTATAATAATACGACTATACAAACTCATGATTACTTCTCATCTTAAACAGTGCATGTGATTGAGGTCCCCTCAACCCAAAAGATACTATATTAGAACAGGAAAAGGTGCAGGGAACAGCAGCAAGGATGACCAAAAATGTGGAACATCTTCCGCATAAGGAACAGTTGAGTTGCCTATGTCCTGCAGCCTGGGAAAGAAAGCATTTACGGGGGATACAATACATCACAAAATGATGAGCAGCATGAAAAAAAACATTATATCCATTAAAATATTGGAAGTAGACTCGCATCGTTTTATAAATGAAAATAGAAATCCCTCCAAGCATCACTTCCAATTACCTGCAAAGAAAAACCCAGCTCTGGCAAGCAAATCGGGCTTTGTTTCTCTGGCATAGAATGGCCATCCGTCAAAGGACTGCAGCCTCGCATCCTCCACATTGTACCTGCAGGCATGCTCTGCTGGGTTCTTCTCCAACTTCTGAACACGTATGCCATACTTTGAAATATTACCTACCTCTTTGCCCAGAACAAATTCACAAGTGGGACAAAATTTCTTCTGCTGTTTGTATGGGGCACATCTAACCTTCATGGTAAATAGAACTAATCGACAGCAAAAACACTGCACACTGGATTTAACAAGCATGTGATAAAACCGGCAGCTGCCATTTCTGTCAAAGGTCATGATGAATGAGATGTATAGGATAGGAACGACGTTAATCTATTGCGTTCACTTCTCATGGTAGGCTTGTAACTCTTCTATAGTTGTCCAAGGCCTCACATGGGAAACGAGCTTGCAATGCAGCAGGATTCAGCTCATGTATTTCATTGTCATTTATCTCCACTGTATGGTCCTCTTTGGCAGATATTTTCTGAAAAGACAAGGAAAATTATCAAATTATATTACCCACATCTTTCAGGTAACATTCAGTCATCACCTCTGTTACCTTAATAAGATGGTTTCTACAGGTTATAAACATTTGATTTCACCTTACTAAGAAGAGATAAGGTGACTGTAGAGTTGGTATAAATAGGTGTACTATTAAATCTGACTAACCAAATTGAGAGTTCTGCAAACTCTGATTGGCCACTGCCCTTATAATGACAACAGAAACTATCCTCAAGCCTTTACAACCGAAATGGAGGGGAAGCCATAATAGGTGAGATTTAAGCAAGGTGACACAGGTGATTGGCAGAACCTAAGAGCTTCATCCTGTAGCTTAAAAACCTAGAATGGCCTCAAGTAAACCAACACGGCGCTATCATCTCAATTCTTCTATCTCAAAGCCATAATGGAATGTTGCTAGTACATTTTAAATTTCTCCTTAAAGTAGGAAAAAAATACATGGCAAAATATACAATGCCAAATAGAAGATGGAAAGTAGAAGTGAGAAATAGGAAAAAAAAAAATCAAAGCAAGCAATTGTTTTATTGCAGTATTTTTAAATTTCAACTGTTTTCAATATAAGTAGTGACTAGTAGGAATTGCATAATCCTTTGTGAAAAGGAACTGGGATTTCATCATCACAAAATGAAATCAATTTGGCAATGAAATTTATTACCAAACTCATACTGTCAATACTTCTCTCCAATAAAGTGGTTTTATTAAACGTTTGGTATTTACACTAGTCTTCTCAAATACAGCTTATCTTGTAGAAGTAATAACTTTTTGTTGTTATTAGTACTGTGGTAAGACAATCATAGGAAATATTTTGCCATGCGGTGGTTTAGAATGCAGCAAACATGCCAACAGTTCAGCTCCATGTAGACACATTCTGCTCCCCACACCTCCAAAGAGCTTTGCTTTGTTTTATGAAATAATTGAAGAATCTTGAGAGATTTACAACATTTACGAAACAAATTAATCCTTAAGAAAGTGATTCTAAATCCAGAATCTCCAACCTGATTTAACTCTTTATCACTGGCTATAAAAATCACATTCCCCTCTCATAAGAAAATATGTGCTCAACAATTTAGATGCTTTCAAATCCCAAGGCAAAAAGTGTTACAAAAGCTGTAAAAATCTTCAAGTTCTGTTATATTTTGAAAAATTATTGTGGTGGGTTGACCATGGCTGGATGCCAGGTGCCCACCAAAGCCGCTCTATCACTTCCCTCCTCAGCTGGACAGGAGAGAGAAAATATAACATAAAGCTTGTGGGTGAAAATAAGGACAGGGAGAGATCACTCAGCAATTATTGTCATGGGGAAAACAGACTTGACTTGGGGAAA